AGAAATATAGCTCCACAAATCTCTTGTTGATGCTCAAAGAAAACATTCGAAAGAAACTTTTCGTCAATGTTCAGCTAGCCATATTAATTAATGCAAGCACACTGAAACACTGGTACCATTTGTGGTATATGTAGTAGTAACAAATTAAGTCCTAGCTTCAAAACTTACGGACGGCGTATAAAATGACCACTTTTTTGAATTAATTTTGTTAAGTATTGCCAAATCGGTAAATGACATTACTGGAAGGGTATTAAATATAAGATTGATATTTCCATCGACTTACCAACCAGAGAAGGCGACATCATTATAAATACACTATAAGCCAAAATTAAAAATGAGCTAAGAAAAGAGAAAGTTCTGCAAAATGACATAACTCGATCCCGTTCTGCCCAATGATTTATCATTTTAAATTTTAAATGGGCACATCCAATACGAAATTAATAGACAACTCTTTGATTAATTCTTCCGAAATACTTGCCAATCCTTCCACCGTCAGAGGTGTATTGAGTTGACCTTCAGTTAATGTAAATTAGTCGAAGTAACACAAGCAACTGAGATTTGGACAAAGGGAAAAATTGTTGTTATTTGTAGCTACATTTCAGTGGGAAACGTAAACTTATAATTTCAATTTTGAATCGTTCTTCTAAATAGTTCATTTGCATGTCGGTACATTAAGCTGCAAAAGTTTTGGAAATTGTAACTCCCATATCTCTCCTTATTGGCCATTTTTAAGGAAAACTGATGTAGAAATCCGAATTCTTCGGCGAAGAGAAATGATATAAGTACATTGGGTTTTATGGTGTTCACACTTTTAGAGTGATTGAATATTAAAAAAATAAATAAACTGTTAAACTGTTAAAAAAAACTTTCTTCAGTCAAGGCAGTAACAACAAAATCTACCTAGTTAGAACTAACAAGGCTTTCATTTCATACCAAAATATCGTTACTTTGCAACATTTTACATCTTAAATTTGCATGTGCCATACATACTACCATCACACTGATGATGGCGAAAGTTACGCCGAAACATGCCTGCAAATAAAAAGTTAAAAAGCGATGTTGTCTTTAACAAGAACAAAATACTCAAAAATATCTGACATTTGCTTCGGCGTATTAAAAGCAATCCCCAAAAAAAGACAAAAAAGGAAAAATAATAAAAACAAAAACAAAAACAACAAGATTCGCCGCTAATGTAAAGGGAAGAAATAAACTGAAATAAAGAAGATAAGTTTTGTTAAACAAGTTATGACAACAAGATATTTCGACGTTTCGACGCCATCGCGCGTCATTTTCAAGAATAAATTTATTAGATCGATCACTACAGTTTTTATATGTTATTGAATATATTACATGTCTCTTGGGATAATCTTATTTTAGAACACTTTTGACTTAATTGAGTCAAAAACCAGAACCATCCGACAATTTGGCATATAGTAAGACGAGTGATAATCCAAGGATGGAAAGCATACTGTGCAAATTGAGTCAGATTGTGCATTTAGCAGTGGTTCTTTGTTCTTGGTGTATAGCATTTCATAGATCAAGCATTCTGATTTGTTCTTACATCTTCTGAGTACTTTAAAACTCTCTTTGAAACCTTGTAGGCTTTCATGGCAATCTTTGTGATGATAAAGAAGATAGATGTCCAAAGTTACAAGGTGGTTTGATGGTGAATGCCCTTTAGTCACCTTTCCATTTCAATCTTCACAATAAGACTGAGACGTAAATCAGTGATATTTTACGTCTCAATCTTATTGTGAAAATTGAAATGGAAAGGTGACT